CTGGATGTGGTTGGCCAATATTTTGTTGAGGATTTTAGCATCTATGTTCATCAGCGAAATTGGCCTGTAGTTTTCTTTCTTTGTAGGGTCTTTATCTGGTTTTGGGATCAGGGTGATGCTGGCCTCATAGAAGGAGTCTGGGAGACTTCCCTCCTCTTGGATTTTTTGGAATAGTCTGAGAAGGACAGAGGTTATCTCTTCCTTAAATGTTTTGTAAAATTCTCCTGGGAAACCGTCTGTTCCTGGGCTTTTGTGTGCTGGGAGTTTCTTGATGACTGCTTCAATTTCCCCAGCTGTTATTGGTCTGTTCAAGCTTTCTGTTTCTTCCTCCTTCAGTGTTGGAAGATTATACTTTTCTAAAAATTTGTCCATTTCATCAAGATTTTCAAATTTCTTGGCATAAAATTGTTCATAATAGTTTCTGATGATCATTTGTATTTCTGTGGTATCAGTTGTTATTTCTCCTCCTTCATTTCTGATATTATTAATTTGGGTCCTCTCCCTTTTTTTCTTGATGAGTCTGCTTAAAGGCTTGTCAATTTTATTTATCTTTTCAAAGAACCAGCTTCTGGATTGGTTGATCCTCTGAATTGTTCTTTTTGTCTCTATGTCATTCAGTTCTGCTCTCGTCTTGACTATTTCCTTCCTTCTACTTGCTCTGGGATTTATTTGTTGTTGTTTCTCCAGTTCTTGAAGTTGTAGTGTTAGGTCTTTTATTTGAAATGTTTCTGTCTTTTTTAGGTAAGCCTGTATTGCTATGAACTTCCCTCTCAGGACCGCCTTTGCTGTGTCCCATAGGTTTTAGACAGTTGTCTGTTCATTTTCATTTGTTTCCAGAAATTTTTTGATTTCTTCTCTTATCTCATTATTGACCCATTCATTGTTTAATAGTGTACTGTTCAGTCTCCATGAGTTTGCAAGTTTTTGAAGTTTCTCTTTGAGGTTGATTTCGAGTTTCAAGGCCTTGTGGTCTGAGAAAAAGTTTGGTATTATTTCAATTTTCCTGAATTTGCTGAGGCTTGCTTTGTGTCCTGTCATGTGTTGTATCTTTGAAAAACTTCCATGAGCATTTGTAAGAGACTGTGTATTTTTCTTCTTTGGGATGTAAGGTTCTATATATGTCAGTTAAGTCTCTTTGATTCAGTGTGTCATTCAGCTGCACAGTATGTTTATTAATGTTTTGCTTGGAAAATCTGTCCATTTTTGACAGTGGGGTGTTGAAATCCCCTACGATCAGTGTGTTGCTGTCTATATCTTTTTTGAAGTCATCCAACAATTTCCTTATAAACTTGGGGGCTCCTCTATTGGGAGCATATAAGTTTACAATGTTGATGTCTTCTTGATAGATTCTTCCTTTAAGTATGATAAAGTGCCCCTCTGGGTCTCTCTTTATGGCCTCTGTTTTGAAATCTACTTTGTCTGATACAAGTATGGCAATGCCAGCCTTTTTCTCATGCCCATTCCATTTGCTTGGAATATTTTTTTCCATCCCTTTACTTTCAATCTGTGTAGGTCTCTTGCTCTGAGGTGGGTCTCTTGTGGGCAGCATATGTGTGGGTCATGTTTTCTTATCCATTCAGCTACCCTGTGTCTTTTGATTGGGGCATTTAGTCCATTCACATTGAGAGATATTACTGATAGAAACTTACTCACCTTTTCTCTTTGTACTTGTGTTCCTCTCTGTCTCATTCTTTTCCTTCATCTGCTTAAACCAGTCCCCTTAGCATATCCTGGAGTGCGGGTTTGGTAGAGATGTATTCTTTTAGCCTTCTTTAGTCTGGGAAACTCCGTATTTCTCCTTCTATTTTAATGGAGAGCCTAGCTGGGTAGAGCAGCCTTGGCTGTAGGCCCTTGCTTTTCATGGCTTGGAAAATTTGTTGCCATTCCCTTCTGGCTTGCAGTGTTTCTGTTGAGAAGTCAGCTCCTAGGCGTATGGGGGCCCCCTTGTATGTTACTTTCTCCTTCTCCCTTGCTGCCTGGAGGATTCTCTCTTTGTCTTTGACATTTGCCATTTTAATGATGATGTGTCTTGGAGTGGACCTCCTTGGGTCCCTCTTGAGTGGGGTCCTCTGTGCCTCCTGGATCCATGAGAGCCTTTCTCTCCTCAAATTAGGGAAATTTTCCATCATTACTTTTTCGAGGAGGTTCTCTATTCCTTGCTCCTCTTCTTCTCCTTCTGGTATCCCTATTATACGGATATTATTGCGTTTCAAGTTGTCCTGCATTTCCCTAAATGCCTCTTCATTCTTTCTGAGCCGTTTTTCCATTTCTTGTTCTTTCTGGGAGCTTTTTTTCTACCTTGTCCTCCATCTCACTGATTCGATCCTCAGCTTCATCCAGCCTGCTTTGGATCCCTTCTACTGTGTTCTTCAATTCAGAAATGGTATTCTTCATATCCTCTTGTGTCTTCTTGATAGTTTCTATGTCCTTTTCCAGGCTGATATAGTTTGCTGTAAGATCCTGATTGTTTCTCTGCAGTTTCTCATAGTTCTCTTTGAGCTGGCTGAGCTCATTGAGCTTCCTTAGAACCATTGTTTTGAATTCCATATCTGATAGTTCCCTTGCCTCTATTTCATTGAGCTCTCTCTGTGGGGAGTCCCCTTTTCCACTCATTTGGGGGGAACTTCTTTTTCTTCCCATTTTTGTGAGAGTCTGTTAAGTATATTTGTCCTATACTTTTCTTTCTGGGCTTGCCTCTGATGATGTCAGTTGTTGACCCTATACAGCCTTGGGTTGTTTGTTTGAGTCTTTCAGGAGTCTAATGCCTGTGTCTGACTCCTGCTTGGAGCAGCTCTGTGACCCCTTCGGTCAGGGCTGAGCTATCTTTTGGGATCTCTCTGCGCTCTCACGCGGGCTCCTTGAGCGCGTTCCCAGCATGGCAGGGTCCCCCACGTGCCTGGGCTCGCATGTGCTCGCCCCAGACCAGGGGGCTCATTCTCGACCTCACGTACTCATCTGGTCCCCCTGGCACACGAGCTTCTTGGCACTGGTCAGTTTAGGGTCTTCTATTGTGTATTTTCCCAGCTTTTGGCTCTTTGGGTGCGTTGCTTGCCCTCGCCAAATTGGGACTACGGAAATGGGAGGAAATCAGCTCTAGGACTCTCTGGTTAATCCTGTTTCTGGTCTCTCCTCCAGGGACTCTGGGCAGCTCTACTTATTTTGTTGGCCGCTCTGCAATCGCAGCGGGCAGGTCAATTTACGCCTGCCCTTGCCCCTCTGTGCACTCCCTCGCAGGCCATATGGGTGCCAGTCTGTGTGAGGCCTTGCCGGCAGGTGCAAGCGTTCGCCAGCCTGCGTGGGTCAGACACGCTCGCCAACCCTCGCAGGTCACTCACGCAAGTGTGCGCGCCTGCTCTTGGTGTTTTGGGGGTGCCTATGTTTGCTTTTCAGCTTTTGGCTCTTGGGGGGTGTGGCCTCTTCCCGCGCAATGGAGACTATGGCAAGGAGAAGGTGTCGGGACTCCCCAGTTCCTCCTCCCGTTGTTTCCCCAACGCCTCCGTCTCCAGTCTCTCTTCAAGGCTCTCCCAGCCAGTCTGCACTCAGCCCCGCAGCTCACATGCATACAAGCTGTGTGCGGAGCACACAAAGGGCAGGTTAATTGATTCCCTTATGCCTGAGCGAGATGGTAGCTGCAGAGTGGGAAGTGCGTTATCACTGGGGCTCCACCGGCTGCCGTGTCAGTTCTCTTCACAAAGTTTTCCTCACCAGTCTTTTCCCAGGCACCAGCCCACCCTGCTGCTGCCTCTACCCAGCAATCAAGGAGGGTGGCTGCCGCTGCAACTTTTGCGTTTGCCCTTTAAATGTCTTTTTGCATCCCCAGCCACCTGTCTCTGGCAGAGAGCGCCCCTAAGCTTTCGGGGGTTGCGTTTTGTCTGTATTTTCTTGGCTTTAGCTGCTGTAGTTTAGGGGTTCCTGTTTATGATTCAGACCCCGTTCTTCTCGGGGGGAGCTAACTGGCCATTTCAATGTCCCTCTGGTGCCAGTGCCCGTGTGCATCCAGCCCACCCTCTCGAGCCTCCACTGCAATTCTCACCCGTTGGGATGTGTGAGAGTAGAATCCACTGTCCACGGCACCAAGACTCCTCTCCCACTATCGCTCCACTGCTTTCGAGGTGATTACTCCACTATTTAGTTGCAATTCCAGTTTGGTTTTGGGAGGAGGTCAGCTTGACTCCCATTCACTCCTCCGCCATCCTTCCGACCACCAAATTCTTTTCTTGTGGGTATGGCTCCCACAACTGTGCTTTCCAATACTTTCTGGAGCTGGGTCCTGGGCTGCAGCCAATACCTTGTTGCTCAGTGCTAATGGCACTAGTCTCTCTGGAGCACCAAAGATTGCCCACAGGGACAAAGACACCCCCAATCAGACATGCATCACCCACTAGGCTCTTACCACTCAAAGGATAGCTTTTTGAAATATCAAACTTACACAGTGTCATTGGGAATTTGCCATTGAGGGGGAAAATAACACTTTCTGAACAATAGGAGAACAAGAATACTGCAACGCAGACATTTAGGGGAAACACTAGAATTAGAACCTCTTTGGAATGCTGCCTCTACCTCCTAGACAGGTAATGTAATTCTATGGGCTTCAGTTTCTTTGCCTGTAAAAAGGAGTAGAATTCTACCTCTCTTTAATAGGATAACACATGTGAAATATTATATGTGAATGTTACATATAATCATGTAAATGTTATAGGGCTGTATATGTGGAAACTGTAACACTTATTAATTTTCAGACATAGTATATAATAAAAATGATTAATGGACAGGACAAAGCTCCCTTGGTATCAGATCCATGAAAAATAAGAACTGTTCACTGTGTCAAGTTCAGTACCAGGAACACAGTAGGTGCTCCATTAATACTTGTTTAATAAATAGATCAAACCCAGTTGAGCTGCCACAGAGGGTCAGTTTAGGGGCTGGAGGCCCATACTGCTCTAGACCTAGCCCAGGCTTTTTAGCCACTATCTCCTGCTCTTCCTCTCCCCTCACTCCCTTCAGTGTCCCATCCTCACACGCCACTGCATGATCTCTGTGCTGTGGGGCTGCTGGGGGGTCCTGGGGGCTTTCCAATGATGAGGACAGCAGAGCAAGCCCCAATTCCTGCAGCTGCAGGGGACCTGGGCTGCCCAGACATAGGCACCCACAAGCACAGCTAGCAGCACAGCACACAGGACCACCGTGATGTACAGGAAGCGCTCCTGTTCGTCCAGCTCACTGCAGTCCCAGCCTGTCACAAAGACCGCACACTGGCCCTGGTGTTGTGGCTGTCCCCCTAGGCTGACACATGCCTTGTATTTTGTGCCTGGGAGGAGGTCATCCATAATATATGTGTTGACTCCAGGCCCAATGTGAACCACCTCTTTCCTGAGGGATACATCTGATTCAACATAGAGGGTGACCCACTTCTCTTCAGAGGTATTGCCCACAGTAAACCACTCCAGCAGGACCCTGCACATAGTCTGCTTGATGACCCGCAGGTTGATGTAGACATTGACCTGTGAGGGGATGGAAAGAGAATGGGATGCAGGCTGGATGTGGAGGGAGATGACAATGGTGCTCCTGCCGATGGAGTTGGAAGCCACACAGGTGTAATTACCCCTGTCCACTAAGTGGGCAGCAGGTATGACCAGCTCTGACAGAACAGCATCTTCTGCAGTGGATGAGGTCAACACTGTGTGGAAAGAGAGGAAAACAGCTATGCATTTTTCTGATAGACAACTGGAGTGTCCAGCAGTGCCATTTTTTTAAAAGTGGTGGCTACCATTTATTAAGCATGTACTCAGTGTTAGGTGTTTGCTTACCAACAATCCTTTAAGATAAATACCTAATTTTTACACATAGGAAGTTGAAGGTTGGAGTGATTAATTGACTTTCCTATAGTGAGTGTTGTTCAGAGGCAACAGCTGATCTGAAACCTTGTTTTCTGTCTCTGAGGTTCTTCAACTGCGTTAGCTGCTTGCACCAAACTACCTTCACTTCGCTGCGCTAACACCATGGTTTCCAGGGTATCTCTCACAACTGTGTGACAGTGCAACGTTGCAAACTTCAAGAAATGCCCTCTTACCCCCAGGGTGTGGAGTGACTTATAACCTGGGGCCAAATGCCTGGGTTCTGTCCCTTGCTAGGTATATGGTTTTCAACAAGTTGTTTGGATTCTCTTGGCCTCAATTTCCTCATCAAAAAAAATGGGATGATAATAGTACTTACTCCATAAGATTGATAGCAAGTGTTCTTTAAGTGTTAGATGTTATTATTATTGACAGAATAGATGGTACAGGGAGACTAATTACAGAGCATCACAAAAGATAACATCTGCATGTATTTCACTGTTCTCAAAGAGGTTGCAATAATAAATCCTATAATTCTTTCATTGGTGTTTAACTTCAAGCCTATAAAATGTGAACAAAATGATAGGAAAAAGTCAAAATTTCAGTTAATTCAGTATTTTTAATCATTCAGAGGTTTGCCACCATGTATACAAATGTCTGGATGACTTTCCATATTTCTCAAGTTTTACTCAGATATTTCTAGTTGTTTTTTAGACAACTTCTAGATACCCCTTGGGAAGTCATCCTGGCTTTGTGATGTGCCCCAACCCCCAGGGTAACATTAAAGGTGATTCCAACTGAGGTATAAAAGCAGAGAAAACAGAGTTTCAGGAATGAGAGACAGGTTTAAATCCAAGCTACTGACCCACAGACCCTCATCTCCCTAGATCCTAGCATTACAGCTTCAAATCAATAAGGTCCAGTCAACAAAGTGGTGAAAAGTGTAAAATTCAGTCAATATCTAGGACTTCCCACCCTGGCCTGATTTAAGAATTAGCTGGGGTGAGGGGATAAAGAGTGGGGGAAGAGAAAACACGTTAAAATATATATTCTCAGGTCCTCCCCTGGGCTCGTTTAATCCAAATTTCCAGGGCAGGGGCCTGGAAATATTAATTCAAACAGGCACCCCAGGTGAGTCTGTTAAGGCAAGTTTAGGGAATATGTAATGGATAATCTCTAGAACTGATCCTAGCCAGAAATTTCTATGATTTAAAAATACACAGTGTAGTGTTTTGCATCTAGACAGTCCTCAAAATTATATCTGCTTATGTAATTCTCTAATATTTATACAATATGTTAAGTAAACTCTAAGACATATATTTACATATGTCTATATAAGATATATATATATTTTATACACACACACACACACATATATATGTATATATATATCTTACAAGGATCTGTATGCAATCATTTAAAAGAATGCCAATAGTGTAATATTACCTTGTTGTGGTGTGTATAATTCAGGCCTGTTCCAATCTTACCTAGACCCAGTTTAGTACCTCTCTATTGAGGATACAGTTGCTATAGACTTCCCCATTATCTCAGATACATTAAAAGAGTGAATGTGGCTTACCATCAAAGTTCCTCCACATGCTCAGGGGATACCTCCATGTAATGGTTGGTGAAGGACTGGCCTGTGCCAAGCATTGCAGTGTTACATTCTGACCCACCTGGGTGGTGAGAGTGGTAGTGGGGGTTGAGATCTGAGGCTTCATGCAAGCACTGAGCTCAGTTTCATGAAAAAACTGCCCCACCTTAGAGAGAGGGCCTCGGCACATCAGGTAGGGATTCATCAGGATGACTGGGGAGCTGATGGACTTTACAAGCTGAAAGAGTCCCCTTAGGCGACAGTCACATAGCCAAGGATTATTGTTCAGCGCCTGCACTATGCTAGAGAGAATCTTGGCCCCACAGTCAGGGTGCTGGTGTTTCTGGTAGGCTGGCCAGTTCAAGAATACACTCTTGGATACAACGGTAAGTATATTGGAAGATAGATCAAGGTAGGTCAGGTTGAACGAGAACTGCAGAACCAGCTCAGGGAGTACATCAATCCTGTTGTGTTTGAGATCCAAGACTCTCAAGAGAGGGGTGGCATGGAACATGGTCCACTGTACTGAATGAAGTTTGTTCCCTTCCAGTCTCAGCTCATTCAGTTCTGACAGGTGCTCCAGGGCTCCTAGGTGGATCACAGTGACACCATTAAAATTGAGCCAAAGGTATTCTACAGTGCTCATGCTGGCAAAAGACCTTTGGGACAGTTCAAATAAGGATGAATGCTCAATTCTCACTTGCTTGAACTCTTGAGGAAGGTTCTCTGGGATCCTTCCCAAAGAGATAGACATGCACTGCAGAGTCCTGTACAAGAAACCAGAAAAGCTTTAAGATGAACACCAGGAAACTGGGAGGTGGTATCAGGCTTATCATGGTATTAGACTATGAATTAGAAAAAAAAATTACTCACTTGAAATAAAAGAGTTAGACCTATGTTGGTAAAAGTTCGCAGTTCACCAAAGTTCAGTACCAACTAGAATGAGTCTTATAGACATATTTTCTAATTTCCTACAAATTCTAGGCCTACTCCCACTCCAAAAAATCCCCAAAGAAAGCCCATCCCCTAGAGGTCTGTGGCATGTTACCAGCACAGTGCACCTGCCAAAATTCTCCTCTGAGCAGGTACATCCTGGCAGACAGGATGGCTGAGTTCCATATGAATCCAAAAAAGATCAGACCTAGCAAGAAATAGTGAGAAACTGAAGCCATATTCCTCTGTAAGAGAATAATGTGGGAATTTTTAATAAGATAGTCCTGGCTTCCAAGTGGCAAATCCTATTATTGGTAATCCATGGTGATGTAGGTCAGCGCAGCGGTGGAAAAGCCCCTGAATGCTCTGAGGTCTGTTGTGGCCCAGATCACAAGCTCAGTAAGAACCCATAATGATGGAGCTATGTCTCTTGATTAAGCTCAGAAAAGTAACCCTTTGTCTTGTTCTTGAGTTCAGAAAGCAAACTCTAAGGAAAATGTTCAATTCTATCCTGATACTGCCTTCCCTCAGTTTCTTGCTAAAAAATCTGAGACACCAGCAGGTAGTGCTATTCTGAGCACCATGGTTCAGGTAATTTGGCAAAATTCATTTAATATCCCATCAATCACAATTGGATCTTAAAACATAGAATTTCCAACCATACTCTAAAAGTGAATGCAGATGTTAGGTGGCAAGCAATTCTGTGACCATGCCTCTGTACGGTTCTCTCCCCAGCACCTTGTGTGGTGGAGTTGCATCTCTGTTGATCTGAGACAGCTGCATCTGTCACTTAGATGACCAGACTCAGAGAAGCATTATTATGCAAAAGATAAACCACAAGACTATGATTTAGTTTCTGATTAAACTAAAGCATGTTTTTTTTTAATCTTGGATCTCACAACTTTTCCTGAATGCTGCATATCTCTCATGATAAATAGAAAAAGCCTACACTTTAAAGTTACATATATGTGATTTTTGAATACTTGCTTTGCCACCCATTGGTCAGTCAACAAATATTTATTGGCCATCTGCTCTAAGCCACACACTTACTAGGTGCAAGAAATGCGATGGTGAGCAAAACTTTTATGGACTCAGTCCATGAGGTCTTCTCTCTAGCCTATGCTCCCTAGTCTTGACATCTTTGGAAAGTCGTTTAACCTCTATGAGTATCAATCTCTCCTCTGCAAAATGAGGAAATTAACACTTAGTAGTGCTTCTAAGTAATTTTGAGATTATGTAAAATAAAATACCTAACACACAGTAGATGTCCAATAAATTTTAATTCACCTCCCAAACCAATATACTCTTGAAGAGCAGCAAACTCTACTTCCCTATTACTTGGGGTACTTCCTGGTCAGTACTGAAATTCTATGGGTTCCTCTAAGACTCATGATACACATTATTCCCTACAAAAGGCCTCAGGGAAGAAAATCCTCTTAGTAGCTAACCAGTGGGAAGAGAAATGGGTCACAACTAAGCTGATTACATTTCAGGCTTTCCATCCAAGCCAGATATATTTGCTGGAGTTTCCAGACAGTCTAACTCTACAACCTGGCTAGATCTCTGGAGTTCCTCTCAAAGTAAAGATCAAAACAAGGAGAGTGCTATGGGCAGAAGGAGTGGTGGACATGGAGATACGCTGCCTAGACCCCCTTCAAGGAATGAGTCGATGCTCACCTGTAAGGAGTGTGCATGAGGTCATTCCCTTCCTCATGCAGCACACATGCAGTGACTGAGGGTGGTGAGGACACAAGGGCTTGACCAGTTTGGCCTGATGGGAACATCACTGATGAGTGATTTTTATTCCAGAGTCCCCTACCAGGTTGGCCAAGATTTTGTTAGGTTTGCTTCATGAGGGGAAAAAAATGTATTTTAACCCACAGGTAACACAAATCACTGGTGAATTGTTCTCACTCCAAAATATAAAATCCTGAATAATTTTCATCTCCTCTGCCCTACTCCACACACAAAATTTCTTCTCTGTTCATCCCATTTTAACCTCTTCAAATGAATGCTACTCAACCCAACCTTCTGGTGGCTTGCTGAAAGCTTATCATCTCTGGAATCCCTAGGCCACATCTGCACTGCTGCTCCTCCTCTCCCAACCCCTCATCTTCTGGTTTCCTAATGTGGCGTATGAGCGTAGGGAGTAGGTATGGAGTCAGTTAAGGCTGGAGACTAGGACAATTAAAGTTACTTAGTTTATATTATTTTTCTTAAATAACTGGTGGCTAAATGGTGTCCCTTAACACAAGAAATTTAACAACAAAGGGAAGGAGTCTCAATATGTTACACCCCCATCTCTCTTCCTGCAGGATGCTTTTAGGAATTGGGATTTTAGAGTGAAAGAGGCAGAGTCATAGGAGAGAACTTACTCTGTGTTTATGAAGTAATTAGATATAAATGGCTTCTAAGCAGCAGCTCTCTGGCTTGTTTTAACAGAATATTAATCACAGTTTCTTATCTATTCAATTGGCAGAACTGTGCTACAGCTCAGAGAACTAGGCGACTTGTCAGAAAGTAGATATACTGCCCTTCCTTTCTCAAGCTGCTGCTCTTCCCTCACACCTCCACCAATCATGTCTGAGATGTCCCCTTGGATACCTGTGTTTTGCAGCATGCTTGTGATGGACACACAGAAGACTATATTCCCAACCCCCTTGAAATAGTTGGGCTATGTGACTAATATTCTAGCTTATAAAGTGTAGCTGAAATTACTTTTTAAAAGTCCCTGCGTGATTCTCCATTTTCTCTTTTCCCTTGTTGCAGGACTTGTTGACATTCTAGGTGGTGGAGTTTTCAACAACCTAGGTCCCTGAGCGAATAAGTGAGGCAGAACCCTCACTTCATCCACATTTCCTACTGACTCAAGTAGACTCTGTGAAAGCAAAAACAAATTTTTTTATGGTAAGCCACTGAAATTTGGGAATGGTTAGCACAGCACAAGCATAACATGTTCTGACTAGAAATGTCCTTGCAATCAAATATAATATGCTCAAGTACTTGTAAGTTGATTTTTGTCTCTTCTGGCTTATATGATAGAACAAAAATTTCCAGCTTTAATTCTTTAAACACACTGATCACTGAGTCCCTTGATTGATAGTCTAATTTGAATAGCCCACATCTACTTCCTGGGATATAATTTCTGTTATTTGCCTTTTCATGCCCTGCAACTTACCTGAAATTACAGATATGTAACATCAGAAATAGCTTCTGCCTTGGTAAAGAGAAGTATAACCATGTAGCAGTCAGAAAATACATGGTGGAGATGCCACAGTTCCAACCACCCTCCAAACAAGTCTCCCAAAGGCAGTAGGCTGTGGGATCACCATAATGCAGGCAGGTCTTCAGCACTGGGAGACCAGAAATGCTTTTACTAAGACTCTAAGAAGACATTAGGTTTTCAAAGGACTGACTCACATACCAAAGACTAATACACAAACAAGACATCATTTTATTTTTTTACTACAGAATTTGTTTTTTTCAATAACTTGAATATTCACAAGCACAATCCAGTTTGATTATTTCTATAACAGCAAACTAAAAAAAAAAACAGAACACACAAAGGAAGGATGGTGATAGATGTGTATTGGGAGGCTAACCACCTGGGGGGTATGTTATCCTGATGACCAAGGTAGGTCTTAATGAATCATTGGAAAGTTTGAATTTTCTCTCTCTCTCTCTCTCTCTCTCTCTCTCTCTCTCTCTCTCTCTCACACACACACACACACACAATATTAGATAAATACTAACATACTAATAAGTTCTTTCTGTCAAGTTGCAGGTGATAGGCAAAAAAATATCCAAATATGGAAATCCTGTGCTCATGTGCATCAGTGCTCTCATGGTTCTGGTTCCGTGTTTCAGGGGCACACACACATAAAATCCATACCTGTAGTGAAATTGCTGAGAATTGTATTGCAGAGATCAAGTGAATATAGACCCTCAACTTGGCTTCAACTTGGATTTCAACTTAGAAAGTTATTAAACACTTGGATCCTCCAAGAAAATCCATTATAACCCTCTATAAATTATGCCACTCTTTGGGCTTCATTTTTCTAGTCTGTAAAATCAAGTAGCCCAGTCTATAATGTATTGTTGTGAGGGTTAAATGAGAGAAAACAAAAAAATATATTGTAAGGTCATATGTTATAAGGTCTTTTGTAAATGTGAGAGGGAATGCAGTAACTTTAGAAATCACAATACCAGCCAAATAGTTCCCTAGGATCACTTGCTGTCCCAAAATCTTCTCAGTTGTTGTTACCCAAAGGTTTTGGCACCAAAAATCCTGGATTCTCAATCCTGCAGACGAGATATGACACACTCTATCATTCCCTGTGCAGGAATGTCTGCCTGCTCCTGCACTCAGAGACATCTCAGGGGTTTCCCATCTTTAAGCAAATGGAAGCAGAATCTTCTTTTTAAGTGGCTCACTAAGTGATTGGGAAGATTTTTGAGACACCCTCAGGATCCAAGGTATGTTTCAGTAAGGATCACAAAGACTGCTACATGGGGGCAGAGGTGAGCTGCATGCTAGATAGCATTGTGTGTACTGTGACATGTGCCACAGAGGGTCTCTCAGGTCCCTCCAGACTGACATTCTTAGAGTAAGTGAGCAGTAATCTCTTCAGTATCATCCAAACCTCTAGAATTTACTGAAAATCAAATGATTATCTCTAAGCAGAATGACACCCAGAGGAAAATGTTAGAATCAGTGAATATACACAGCGAGGGCGTGTATGTGTGAATGTGTGAGACGGTACAAATGTGGCTACTGCATAAAGAGGCTGTGTATGTGAGGCCTATGAGTCAGCATAAATGTTATCAAGATGCAGTAGGTGAGAACATGTGTTAAGGACTCAACTCTGGAACCAATTACTTGATCCAACTTCCAGAGCTGCCACTTTCTAGCTGTGTATTTGTAGGCAATATAGTAGATTAGATCATTGCTCAGAAAAAATAATTATTGCCCCACCATGACCTCCAGCAGAGAACTGTTCTTCTCTGCCCTTTTAAAGTTGGGTTTGGCCCATGGCACTGGCTTTGGTAGACAGAATATGGACAGAAACGACAGTGTGCCAGTTATAAGCCAAGACTTTTAGAGGTATCATGTTTTTGCTCCTTCCTTTGATAACATCTGACCTCCCCATGAAAGGAACCTGCCCAGGTAGCCACTGACTCTCCATCCTGGGCCCCAAATAAGACACATGGAACAGGGCCACCTCATTCAACTCACCAACCTGTGGATTGTGTGAAAATAAGTGCTCATTGTTATATACCACTGAGGTTTTGCTTTTGTTATGTAGCAAAAACTAACTGACATAGGTAAGTTACTTAATTCCCCTATTTCTTCTTCAGGAAAATAAGGAGAAATGTGGTGTCTACTGCAAAAGACTGTTATAAAAATTAAATGAGTTAATGCATATAAAGCACTTACAACACTTCCTGGCACATAGTAAGTGCTTTAATCAGTGTTAGCTATTGTGTGTACTTGGATGAGTAAGTGAGCCAAGTGGTTAAGAGTAGGTGAGCATGATCCAGGTGTCAGAGTAAGCATATGGGAGCAGAAGGTGTTCACAGCAGATATGTGGGCATCTACATGTATAAGGAGAGTAAGCCCCTCAGCAGAAGTACTCATTGGCTCTTCGGCACCCCCTGGTTCCCAAGAGCTGAGAGTCCAAGCTGGAACGGGCTGAGAGGAGCCTGTCAGCCTCACTGAGGCTGTGCCTAGAAAGCTCCTCTGAGCCGTCCTCGCTGTGGCCCAGCCTGTCCAGGTTGACATAGGCACCTGCAGCCTCAGTGGCATCCCCAGTGCAGCACTTGCGGCAGCGCCTCTGGACAGCACCACAGCAGACGAGCAGGGTGAGGGGCAGGGCAATGACAGCAGCCACACTGATCACAACCACGTTGATGAGCTGCTGAGTGGCTTCAGCATCCACCACTTCGTTGGTGGAGAAGATGACGCACTGCTCTTTCTGGGGAAGCAAGCCCCACACAGAGACACATGCCACATACTTGGTCTTGGGTACCAGGCCATGGATAGTGACCCTGGTCTTCCCAGGTTGCATAACCAGCCGCCGCATGTCACGCTGCCCAAAGACTGCGTAGAAGACACTGAAGACAGTTGTGTTCCCAGCTTGAGGGGCCTTCCACACCAAGGTCACGCTCTGGTAAGTGTCCCCTAACACCTTGAGAGACCTCACCATTCGGGTCTCCTGGGGTCCCGTCTGCCCATTCGAGTGTTCTGCTGGGGCACTCATCTGGAAGTGCTGGAGCATCAGCTCCTCCTTCACATCGGGCACAGAGGGGCCAGTGGACAGGATTGCAGACTCAGGGATGTAGGGGACATGCCTGGCCATAAGCTTGTTGTACGCAGCAGCTTCCTCCCCTTCCCCTGTCCTTGCCCACAGTGCCTCTGCACTTCCACTGTGCTCTGTGGAAGTCTGGGGCTCAGTGACAACTAGGGAGATAAGAGTCTCAGAGGCTCCCAAGAAGTTCTTGGCCTGGCAGATGTAGTCTCCAGAGTCAAGGTGGGACACAGCTGGCAGACCCAGCAGAGTCCAGCTTGTGCCATCACTGGAGACTTCCTGATGCACTGGGGAGAGAGAGGCATATGTGAGAATGGATGGGCCCATATGCCCTAACCTACCTCCCAGACCCAAGTTCACAGCCCCTGGACTATGCATACTCTCCTGAAGACCTTGTCATCCCAAGAAAACCCTGGGACTCATTCAACTTTCCTTAGACTAGCCAAAGAGATTGAGATCACCTAGGCTCAAATTTGGGGAGAACCAAGCTGAGTCAGAGCATAAGAATTATCTGCCTTCTGAATCTGAGATGTTCATGCTGTGTTCCTCAGAGCCTTGGAATTCTGCAGAGCTGACCCTCAGAGGTGGCAGGCAGGTGCTTTGGGGGTAAGGTGGGGCAGGGTGGACATGAGGCAGTGCTCTACCCACCCCCCATCCAGCCCCATTGCCAATTCAATCAGAGCATCTTCAACTTTCTGTTTGAGATACGGAGCTCCTTATACAACTCTGTAAATTCATTTTAAATCCATAGTTCTAGAGCAATGCTTCCTAACCTAGTTGAGGGAGACAGAAAATAGCTGGGAAGAACATAAACTGTTCTCATCAGATGCTAAGAAATTGTTCCCCTTCAACCATCTTTCTGCATGTAGGGCTCTGGCTCCTGAAACCCCATTCCCAGCCCCTACCCAATGCCAGAGATGAACCATCTCTGTCTACACAGCAAAAAAGCACACAATTGTGGAATCAATCAGACTGCATTAGACTCCCAGCTCCTCCTTGTAGGAGCTGGGTGATGTAGGCCAAGCATTGAATTTCTCAAAACCTCAGTTTGCTTACATGCAAAATAAGAAGGATATTTAGGTTCTCTAAAGTTCAATGACATTATGCACAAGATACATTTAACAAATGTAGAGCTCCATAAATGATAACTCACATTCACTCTTAGTAATACTGACTTAAGGTTCACAACTGGGAAACTTACTATAAATATTAAATACACTAAAAGAGCATCTTCTACCAAAAGTCAGCATTTTTTTCCTCCCAAGGTGGGCCCTGAGTCTCTGATAGAGTGGCTAATGGAATATCATAGGACAGGCCATTGTCCACATGCCCTAACTCTGGGTGGAACTTGTCCAGCCCCACTCAGACAGAATGGGAGTGAACAGCCTTGCTTAGCCTACCTCCTGCTCCTTGACAAATCTGACTTTGCCCATTTGGGATGCTGACCCACCTGCCCTAGTCTGGGATCTCAGGACAGCGGTCTCTGTGGGTCACACACCTGTGCCATTGAGTGAGTGCCCATTGGCCCTTCTCCAGCTCATCTCAGGACCAGGGACTCCAAACGCTCCACAGTGTAGCAATACTGTGCTTCCCAAAGGAGACCTGATGCTGGCCACCCCTGGACGGAGCTCTGGACTCTGGCACCTCCTCAGTTCCAGCTGGCTGAAAGCCACTCCAGCCAGGCTGCGTGGGCTGGCACACCTCAGCCTGGCCTCTATGAAAGCCAGGTTTGGGGCCCAGCCTTCCAGGAAATGGACCAGGTCATAGAGTTGGCAGTCACATGCCCAGGGATTGTCCTGCAGCCCTGCAGAGATGAGAGGCAAGAGGTGAGCCCTAGCTATTCAGATCCCCATGCCCAGTTCCCAGTCCCCTCAAGGAGGACAAGGCAGCTCCTGAGCTCAGAGTCTTCAAAACTGGCCTCCAAGCCTGGTTCCTTGCCTCACTTAAGGTAGCTATGCGACCTTAAGCCTGGTTCTTCATCTCAAATGACCATACTAGTTCCCTTTCAGGGTTGCCATAAACATAAAGGAAAATCATATTAAGCACTGGGTAGGCCATACAGCATATGAACAAAAGTAGCAATTACTACTTCCATTCTTAGGCCCTTTCAGGCTACTGACCAGTGAGTGTTTCTGCAATAATTGCAATATGCCAAAACCCATTTCTAGAAATGCTTTTGACCCCAGCCACTTGGCCCCTTTCTTCCCAGTACAAGGGAAACTTTCAGCATCACCCCAAAAATGAAGGTAGTTGTTCTGACCCACCGTTCCTTTGACACAGGCTCAAAAGGAGAGAAGTGATGAGACCAGCAAATCAAATCCTATGCCATATCCTTACATTCTTTACTTTAAAAATGAACATCTTTACAGGGCTTAAAGGAGCTCACTGTACCTCCCATAAAAAAGCCTTCAACAGATAGAGGAGTATTATATGTTCTCAATTCTAAGGCACAAATGCTTTTTGTATGTTTATATTTCTGAAATGCTAAATAAATGTATTTAACATGATGTCCTTTTTATTCCCCAGAGACTGTTATTAAATTTGATACTGTATCTAATAATTAATGGCATCTTATACATTTACATACATATATTTGATTTGTTTGGAAGGGGGAATATGAGGGTTGGAAACCTAATGAACAAACTTAACTAATAAGCAAAATAGACAAACTCATAAATAGAGAGCAGGATGACAGCTGTTTGTTGGGGGACAGGGTTGGGGTTAGAGAATGGAGCAAAAAGGAAAAGGGACTCATGAACATGGACAACAGTCTGGTGATTTCAGGAGGGGGAGGATGGTATAAAGGGGTTAAATGGTAATAGAAAAAATACAATAAAAATTAAGAAAGAAAGGGGGAAAAAGACTGCATTCAGATCTGCTGTATATGCATGACTCTCAGGTACTTCTGAGCACTAGCTGGGAGTGTGTCAGTTCCTTCTCCCACCCCACCACACCATCCCACTGGTGGCTACTACCCTGAGTCACTGGGTAAATGCATGTAATGATACATCTGAACCCCAAGATTCAACACTGTCTGGCTTTGGTGTTGAGCTATCTGGCTTTTGCCTGTTACATCAGAGTCCCCAATAAATGAATGCAAAAAGCGAAGTGAAAAGACAATGAAATGTTCACCTGTCAGATTGGCAAGAATTAAACATTTTGGCCATTTTAGTTGTTAGCATCATTATAAAATAGATTTTCATCAGTTTTGCTTACTTCAGCATCCCCAGCACCAAGAATTGTGCCCACACATTCAAAGGCACCCAAATAAACTTACAGAGTGAACACATACACGGGTGGTCTCACACACATGGGTGGTGTCACACACAAACAGTGGGGCACAAGAATTGGCCCAGCGCCTTTCGAAACTATCAGATTGATATTAAAATATCCACTGTGCACACTCTATGAGCCAGTCATTCCACCTCTCAGTTCCTATCATAGAGAAACATTTGTCGGCCTGTACCAGGCTGCAATGTCAAGAATGTTCTCTGTGGCATCACAGGTGTTAACAAAATAATGAAAACAACCTAAAGGTCCAATAAAGGGGCAATGGTTAAATAAACTGTAGCATAACTATACTATGAAATATTATGCACCAGTTGAAAAACATGAAGTTGATTCACTTGTAATAACTAACAAAAGTCTCCAAGACATACTACTCGGTGAAAATTAGTGTTGGTTGATATATACAATATGATAAAATTGTATGTAAAGCACATAGATGAGTCCTGGCTAGTGTAGCTCAGTGAACTCAGCGCTGGCCTGAGAACCAAAGGATTGCCGGTTCAATTCCAAGTCAGGGCACATGCCTGGGTTTCAGGCCAGGTCCCCAGTAGGGGGCACATGAAAAGCAACCACACATTGATGTTTCTCTCCCTTTCTTTCTCCCTCCCTTCCTCTCTCTAAAAATAAATAAATAAAATCTTTTAAAAACACACAGATGAAATTTCTATGTGCACATATGTATGTGTATGTAGATATACTATAGAAGATAGGTAACATGCAAATAAACATAACAGTGGTTACCTTTTAGGACAGGAGAAGAACTGGAATTGGTAGATGAGACAAAAGGGTTTTTAGCTTTTTCTGAAGTATTTTAAATGTTTACATATATTTGTATATGACTTGTGTCATTAAAATTAATTTTCTGGAGTGAGTTATGTCCAGGCCATGCAGGTGCCTTGGGTAGGAAAGAAGATCTGGTTCACCTGGTAAACCACTGGTTTATTAGGAACAGGACAGAATCAGAGAGAGAGAGGGGGGCCAGTTGGTATAGTCCATTCAACTCTGCTTTGGCAAAGTGAGTGTCAAGGTTCTGTCTTCTGACTACATGCCTTAGAAGGTCTCTTGTCCCTCAATTTCCTTGCTTGTAACAGTGGGTCAACACCTCTTACTCTAGTTGCCACCTCTTACTCTAATTGCCTGACATGGTTGTTGGAACAGGTGCCAGATATATGTATACACACACACACGACACTCAGTTAAATTTGATTTTCAAATAAACAATGTTTTTCTATATAAGTACTTCCCTAGGCAATGTCCTTAATCAGGTGAAAAGTTCTGTAGGGTGGATGGAGCAGGAATGGGGCTTACTGGTCTCTGCCCTGCTTCCAGGTGGTAAGGCTCCCAAATAGTCCCTCCTTGAGAAATGTTCTGGGGCCTCAAGGCAGAAGCTGCCCCAGACCACTCTAAGATCCAGGCCACGGGTCATGTCTTCTGATATGATACACATCACCTCTTCATAGCCTCTGTAGTTCCCAGCCCCTCATGGGACATGGGAAACAGAATCAGCCTGTATGACAGTATTAGGCCCAAACCCTCCTCTTACTAATCCCCAGTTTATGTGTGTTCATCTATAAAACAGAGGGCATTGCACTCGCACTATTTTCCCCAGGAATGTGGTAAGGGTCAAGTTCTGTGAGGGGGAAGAGGAAGTTTTGGGGACCCTTCAGTTCCACCCTGATGCTGATGGCCAGTAAGGACTGACAAATTAGCAAAGAGTATGGAAGGACTGGTGTACCTAGCACTCAGAGGAATCTCTGAAGGGAGAGGGGAACCACATGCTTTGAAGACTATTGAGGTTGGGTCCCTGGAAGGAGACTGAGATAAAGATTAGCTTGCTGGGGAAAGGAAGAAAGCAGGAGAGGGGCAGAGTGCTGGGATGCAGGCCTGGGGAATCACTAGGGGAAGGGGCAGTCTGGAGCTGAAATAGCCCGTCAGAGTTGCCCCAGTGGCTGGGCCTTTAGATTCCTACCTGATAGGCCTTTGGATGGGGACTGTCCCCAGAAAGGGTGTGTGACCTTAGGCGAGGCTGCTCTGCTGCTGAGGTTGTCCTGACAAGGGTAACAGCTGAAGGCTGCTGCTGACAGCACAACCTTGATCAGGATCTGAGGGGCAGGGCACATCACTGTGCCTGCCACGAGACCTACTGTGTATTAAGCGCTGTCTTTATACCCTCAAAGCCAACCTTTTTTGAGACAGATCTTTCTATCATTCGCTCTTTTCAAAAGGAAACCAAGACACAGAGAAGCCAAGCCAAGGACACATAGCTAGCAAGAGGCAGAGCTGGAATTTGAACTGCAGCTGTCTGACTGGGCACTTGAGCTCCTAATGGTGTCAACAGGAGCCTTTCACCCAATGTTCACTCAGACCCGGAACAGGTGTGATTTCTGTTTTGCAGGTAAAGAAACTAAACTCAGAGAGGTTTGGTATCCTGCACAAGACCCCAACTTGGTTCCAAGTGAAGGATGCCATCTCTTACCTAGGACCAGCCTGATGCGGTGGCCCAGAAGGAAGGACCCGGTCTGCAGGTGAGACCAAGTGGCCAGCAGCTCCTGCGGGAGCCTCATCAGCTGGTTGCTGGAGAGGTCGAGGAAGGTGAGGTTGCCCAGGAAGCGCGCAGCCTCGGGCGGCACCGCCGAGAGGCGATTGGCCTGCAGGTCCAGCAGCCGCAGCTCGGGGGCGTCCCTGAGCGCCTCCCACGGGAAGGCAGCCAGGCGGTTCCCGGGCATGCGCAGCTCGCTCAAACGGCGCAGGCCCCGCAGCATCAGGATACTGAGCTCGCTGAGCGCGTTGTAGGGTAGCCACAGCTGCTCCAGGCGGCCCAGCGGCCTGAAGGCCTCCCCGGGCACCCTGCGGATGGCCGTCCGCTCCAGGCGCAGTCTGGAGGTGTCCAGTGGGACAGACGCTGGGGGCAGAGTCATGTCAGGGTCATTGCACACCACCGTCCTGGTCACAGAAATGGGGGATATTTGAGCAAAGGTCCAGTCAGAGATTCCCCGCTTCCCCGACCTCCCTTCAAAAATCCTGCTGATCTGCATGAGACACAGACACAACCTCCAGGCTGCTGTGAGCTCTGGAGATGGACCAGGAACAAGCGGCTTCCTGTTTTCTCTTTGGGCCCGCGGCGGCGCCGGTGGGGTGGTGCGGGGGGCCAAGGGTGGGGGCGCGGGCAGGGAAGCGGAGGCGGGGACTGGGACAGGGAAGAGGTTCTTGTTTTCAGAGCCTTTCACAGGGAGCCACCTGGTCTCTGTCACTGGCCTGAAGGACCTCAAACTTAAATTACTGTGTCCCATTACAGCCCACACTACCTGGGGTATATTAAGAATGGCTAGTATTCATGAATCCTGAGATCATCGTGTGCACTGGCCTACTGCAAATGTGTTAAGAACATGTTTGATGGTTAAATTATACCTCAGTGTTTGTAACCATTTTGGCTTTCTTCATTTAAATATATATATATACCAAGCACATCAGAAATGCAAGCCATACACAGGGTGCCTCAACCCTCTCTCAACTCTGAAGGGAACACAAGATGCTTAAGGATCTTAAAAGCTGGGACTTAGCAGCCCTGCAGTTAAATTCTCATCTGTGCTGTTTGCTTGCTGGCTGTGCGTCCTTGAGTATATGACATAACCTTTATTTTCTTCAGTTGCCCCGTAATAATAGACTCCACATCACAGGGTGGTGTGGGGGTTTAAATGAGGTCATGTGTGTACCAGCTCTGTGTGTCTGTCACTCATAGGATCCCAGTGCTATTGACCACTGTCATAAATTTCCACATCCCAGCACTGCAGGTAGATCTGGTCAGTCTCACCAGCTCCTTCCAATGCACCTTCTTCCCAAAGAGTGACATCTTAAACCTTGTTCTACTAAATTTGGCACTAAAGCAGAGGATAGAGAGATAACAGGAAGCAATCCTGCCCCCAAGGAGCCTACCATTCAGGGCTGTATTATATGCTATCCCAGAGAGCAGCACACTCACATAAGATAAAAAGGAAAAGATTATCAAGAAGATGAAACTTGGAGGCTGAGCAGGAGGGACCCAGCCCTTGTACAGGCCCAGTTTCCTCTGGAGAGCTTATCTGATCCCATAGAGGAGGAGGTGTCACATTTTGCTTTGTTGAGGGAGGTTGTTCCCTTGTGAAGTCATAACATATTGCTCATTCATGCCTCCCTGGGTAACACCCACACTCCACCTGCATTCATTAGTTTAACTTACATACTCTACATACTCTAAGTTGTCTGGGTTTGACTTGTTTTTTTTTTGTTGTTGTTGTTGTTTGTTTTTTTTGGTCAACAGTGCCCACAAAAGACAGTTACTTTCCACCCCCTCATATTCTTCAACTATACATGGCACCTCTACTGAGTAATGGGGCTGTGAAGATCCAGAAGAATATCAGCCTCACAGCTGCTGTCCTATACAGCTTATAATATAGCTAAGGAAGAAGCAGCATTAGACGCAATGATATTTTCAATGATAGTAGAAGTTTGGGTGTTGCAAGGAGAAAGGTCTTGATATAAATGGGAAGAAAGGAGTTGAAGAGAAAATGCATCTTGAAAGGGGGAGAAAGGGAGGAGGAATCAAAGAAACAAATAAAAGAGCCCAACACAGGCCAACAGCACAACTCCTGGTAGTGCACAGTGGGCACAAAGAACATGGTGACACATCTGTCCAGGTGCCCAGACTGCCCCTGCCCCATCACATATCACCAGTACCCACAGGAACACAAGCTCTGCTCATGATTACCAGAGCATGGAGCATGGGCCAGTCACAAGGGCTAGACCCTCTGAAAGGCCCTGGTTAGAGAGGGGGCTGAAGAGGGCATCTGAAACAGAAGGAGCCTTAGCCTGACTATACAATCTGTGCCTATAGCCATTTGGGACCTCAGGCCCCCTGCAGCTTTTCATGGCCTCATTCTCCTCATAGAACACTCAATGCACATAGGCTGGTAATCATTAAATGTGGGACTGTCAGGCAGGTAGACTGATGGTGAGAGCTCTGGATGGTCACTGGCTGACCTAAGCGGCCCTGGAAACTGCCCTTGGAATGCCATTTGCCATCCTAAAGCTAACCTGTTACTAGCAGTCCTCTCCGGTCCCCGTCATGACAGTGTCTTTGATGAGAAGAGTTCTGGAAATGGAACTGAATCCCTGGGTTCCAGTACCAGGTTTGTCACCAATGCTGCGTGACTCAGCCCTATGCTCTCTGTGGGTGTCAGGGGTGGTTCTTCATCACCCTGGTCACACTGTTTTTGGCCACAGACATTTTCCTGGCCTGCTCAGGACTCAGCCCTGGCTTCCCTTTGGGATAGGATCCTTACCTCTGATGATCCATATGAGTTGGAGCATCAGAGATTAGGGCCAAAAATGGAACTCTTCCTGTTCTTCAGACCATATGGGGTACCCTTTCTTGGGGTTCCTCTCTCTCCTCTACCTGCCCTCATACCCAATCAATTCAGCATTCGTTGCCTGGATCGCTGATAGAATTGCACTGACAATATTGCTGCCCTGATCAGAAACCATCAGTATCTCCCCAACACCCATCTAAGACAAGGGAGAAAAGGAGGATTGAATTTCAGAAGGTAGGGAAGATAGTGGGAAAGGCCCTAAGCCAGGGCCTGAAATCCTTGAGCAAGATGGATGAGGCAGTAGGCATTAATGGATAAGCTGGAGGGAAGATGGTTTAAAGACAGTTGAAGAGAAGGAGAATGAGCTATGGTGGAAGAGCAAGGGCCCACAAACCCCAGAGGCATGGGAATATCCATGCAGGGGGAGGAGGAGTGGATGGAGGCGCTCTCAGAGCTCAGATGGGTTATGGGGGAAAGTTAAAGAGAGGCTGAGGAGGAAGGAAGTCTTGTCTGCAAAGGAATGGGCAGTCCTGGCCTTTTGGAGAACCTCTAGAAAGGAGTTTAGGCTGAGACTCCTGAGGACTTTGACATAGGAGATCCAAAGAGGGAGAGCATGAGGAGGCTTACTACACCAGATGGTGTAGTAAGAAACACCTGGGATGTGAGTGGATACCCCTGGGAGGTGAGGCAATAGAATGGGAGAGGACTGGGAAAGAAGAGGCTGAGTAGATACAGAGAGGATGATGGGAAGAAGGGAAGGAGGGAAGGAAGGAAGGGAGGGAGGAGAGAGGGAGGGAGAAAGGAAGGAAGGGAGAGAAGAAGGAAGAGGTTAGGGGGACTTCCTGGGCCCTTCAGGAGGTTCCTGTACACCAGGATCCTGGAGGAAGATTCAAGAAGGATTTCTTGGAGTTGGCACGCCTGTGCCCCACTGCCACTCCCAAGTGTAAAGGTACCTGTTATCACCCAGGCAGAGTCATGCCCTGCTGGCTAGACAATAATTCAGTGCAAACCAGCCTTGTAGGACCCCTGGGCCTCAAGTGCCAGGGAAATGGAGGTCTTACCTGGCCACACTCTGAGGGTCCTGCATCTAATCCTCCCAACCAGGCACATTGGTAGAGCAGAAGGGCCAGGACTACCCATCCCACACACATGGTGCCATACCTGACCTTGTTGCCATCGCCCAGGATGCGGAGACTGCAGCTGCACTGAGAGGGGCAAGAGCTCCGGGCTTGGGGGGGTCCCCCGAGGGCGAGGAGCCAGAGCATGCCCAATGTCACCCTCATGGCTCCTGGCTCCTCTGTAGCTCAGGCAAAGTCCTGTCCCTGGACAGCTCTCTCCTGCCCACCCAGCAGCAACTGGCCACTGGCGCCTCAGCCCTCACACACCTGCATCAGATAAACAGGACAAGCTGGGGATTAGGGAAGGAAGCTCCAGCCAGAGCACTCAGCGGCTTATTGCTTCCTGGAATCACCTAGTCCTGAGAGTGGGGGTGGGGAGATCCCCTTCTGTAAAACAGTTGCAGGTTCAGAGAGGCCAAGGCCTGGCAAGGTGGGGCGGGCAGGTGGGCATCCTCCCCAGGACAAGCAGCTGCTGGGCCAGTTTGCTGGGCTGCCCACCTGCAAAGCCATCCCAGGCCAGCCAGGCTTTGGGCAGCAGAGACCCACCAGGTACCTGGGTTTAGAGGAGATAAAGACAAACCCTGGTCTCTGGAAGGGCTATTGGAAATTATTTTCTATGATACTATTTAATAGTGAAAAAGCAATAAGATGAAGGCAATGAAGATACTAGAAAGAGCCCAAACTCCAGGGCCACACTGCCTGGGTTTAAATTCCAGCTCCTCCATTTAAGGGGTGTGTGAACTTTGATGAGTCACATGATTCCTCTTGGCCCCTGTGTCCTCATCTGTCAAAAGGAAGTAATGTTACTTTACTCAGGGTGTTTGTGAAAATTATACAACCCAAGTTTCCCAGACTCGACAGCCTGTGAAAATGGAAGTTCTCTCATGAACAGTAAGGACCCAATTTTGCTGGCACTTACAAGTACCATGCAGGAGTTGGGAAAACTCAGATATTTTGGAGAGACATCAACAGTGTCTCCCAAGGGCTCATGAACCCTCCCAGCCTGCCAAGAGAGCAGCTGCCTCCCCAAACGCTCTATGGACAACCAGTCTCCAAACACTGCCATCTGAGCTGAGCTCTTCTGGCCATTACCACCAAAGCCAAAGACACAAGGTGTCTCCATGTGAGGGGAGAGGGTTCCCATCTCCTCAAGTCGTCATACTCTGAGGAGGGTCCCACAGCAGATCTCAGAGTTTTGGGAGAAGGTACTTTCAGTTTTTACAAATTGTCCCCTTCTCCCAACCTCATCCTATCGTAGACATCACCCTTCACTCATTCATTCTTCACATTTGACCCAAAGGCTTTTCCAGAAGATTCCTTTGGCTTCTCCAGAAGGTTTTTCATTCCCTCATGCTCATGAGCCTAGGCAGGCCTAGACCAGTGAGATCTGACCAAATCAGGTACCTGGGGCCCAGTGCACACATGAAAAGCCTGGCTCTGTGCCAGCCCTGTTTTGACAACACTGCCTTCTAGGAAATGTTGGCTCCCCTCCCTTCCTCTCTCCCATTCCAACTGATACAATTTTTCTGTGCTTCCCACCTCTACCTCATTCTCCCCAAACAAAGGCCAGCCTGGACCCTTTCCAGATCTCTGCCTTCCCCTCCTCCTTCTGGGGCTGCCATCCTGTCTTACCTAGCTGTCCTCTACCCTTGATTCTTAGTCCTGTCCTGCTTTTGATTCTGCCTTGAAGTCTTTAGCAATTTTGCAGGAACTAAAAAAAATTAAAAAAGGAAAAACAAAAAAACAAACAAAAACAAAAAAACACCACCCTGACATATGCATTAACCATAATGCAAAATGGAAACTGGGAAAGGGCAGAAACAACTCTGTGGTAACTAAGTTATCAAGAAAGGCTTCCAGGAATATGTGGGTGTCAGCTCAGCCCTGAGGAGTGCTTAGGCTTAGACATAAGCAGGGATCACAAAAGGAAAGACACAGGAAATGAATGCTTACAAAATAATATTAGCTGCTTGATCAGGAGCCCTGGGGGTTAGCAGATAGGGCTTTTGTGAATTACTGTGTGGCCTCAGGCCAATTCTTAACAGCCTTGAGCCTCAGTTTTGCTCTGTGAAATGGAAAGGAGTTGCAGGAATCCTCGTAAGGTCAGTGAGCACAGTGTCTGGCCCTTAGTGAGCACTCAATAAACATTAGCTATATTGCTGATAGCATTCTAGGCTTTGGTGTCCTTATCTGAAAATGAGTTAAGTTGCTCTACTTAATATGTCCTGATGCAAATTTCACCACAAGCCAGTGTGTAACTTGTACCAGGACCTCATTTGTAGAACCCAAAGCTCTTAGCGTGTTGTGGACCACTTACAAGAGAACAGCAGCCCCTCTCCCAATGCACGAGCCAGTGCATTGGGAGACTTTGATGCTTGTATAGCCAAGGGTTCTATGGGAGTCAGGAAGTACAGCCCCAAAGGTTGTATCTACAATGTATTCTTCTAACCAAGACTTACACAGGCCATGGAAAAAGATGCTTACATTGCAAAGGAGGGAACAGAGACTCCGGCGGTCCTACCCCACAGCACATAGCTAGTTAATGGCAGATTCAGAACCAGAACTCAAGTGTCTAGTTCCAGTTGGAGTTCTTTCTACAACAGCAGGTGACTTCCCTGCCATCATCCTTTCTCTCTTGCTTGTGAGGACATGAATGCAATGATGTGGACACATATATATGTGCATACACATGCACATAGGCATGCAGCTTGCCAGCACCTGCAAACATATTGGGAACTGGCTTCTAATCAATTCTCAGGCACAGAAGAAGCATCAAATCCTTTTGCTCCCCAACCCTCCCTTGGTTATGCAACTCTTTCCTAAATCGGCTCTCAGCCACACACCATTTGGATTCTGGGTCCTTAATCCTGCCTGGTGGGGCTGAAATGAGACACAGCTCCACTCTGGCTTCTCAAAGCCAGAATTGTCCAGCTGGTGAACGGGTTCCTTCTTCTTGGGCCAAGAAGGTGATTTGGTAGGAGGGGCAGCAAGAATGAGCCCAAGATCTAGCATAATCACCTGCATCTGCCAGCATGTGACATGGCCCTTTAAAAGGGAAGGGTCTGGCTTTGGGGAGCCAGAGAAGAGCCGAGCCAGCTTGAAGGAAGGCAAGGATGGCAGAGTCCGGGTCCCTGCCCACAGGATTTGGGGAAATGGAGGTGCTGGCTGTGGGGATGGTGCTGCTGGTGGAAGGTGAGCCAGGCAGGACCTGGGGTGGAATGGGGACACAGTGGGCTCCCAGAACCTAGGCCACAGCTATGATACTGGCAGAGAGAGGTCTCTAAACCCTACTCCCCTGTGCCTAGACCCATGCAGGCTTTGATGGCTGCACCTGGAAGATGCAACCTGCAGTCTGGGAGCCAAAGGAGAGAAGCCAGGCAAAATGGGGAAGGACTTTGAAAGGGGGACATCTACCCAGGGCATGACCAAAAACCAGGGTTCAGGCCTTTGCATTGTCCTTTCCACAAGGAGAGAGTTTAATCCACTCCCTAGAAATTCTGCTGCGAATTTTGTATAAGATCAGGCCCCTGATAGGCTCTAGAGAGAGTTCTGCCACCTGTGTGACTATAGCTAAGTCACTCAAGTTTTCTGACCCTCAGTGCTCTGATATTCCAAGTGGGCAATGATGAAGGTCATATGGGATCATGGGTATAAAGTGCTAGCTGAGACAGATGCCCTGAGATTTAAGTTCATTCACTCCCAGCCTCTCCAGCACCCCCATTACTGCCACCATCTTCACTCTCTCAGCTCTAAGCATTTCCATTCTAAGGGTGACCTGGGTCCATGAGGTACCAGCCTCAACCCAGAGTCCCTAAGATGTTCACTGAGGCCAGAGCTGAGACTGTAGACCCTGGAGCTGGGTCAGCCCAAGACTAAGTTGTTGGGGATGCAGCCCTTGTTCAGAGCAGATCCAGAGAAATAATCTGCACATTTTCTAACCACGAAAACTGACAGTGGAGAGAGAGCAGCAGCATGAAGCTGGTTCTGGTGGCCCCAGCCTCTTTTCCTCTCCTCTGGGAACCCTACAGTCTAGCACCCCTCTATGTCCTCAAACATACCTTGAATTTTACCACTGTGTCTCCTTGCACATGCTGTTCCTATATCTAGAATGCTCTCTCTGCACCCCACCCTCTTAGTAAATGCTCACAGTTTTGAAGACAGGATACTCCCCCAACCCTCACTTTAGATGGGAGAAGCCAAGGCTCAGAGAGTGTAAGGAGTGACCAAGCTGAAATTCAAAGTTGGATCTGTCTGCCACCTGAGACCACCCCCTTTAAAGTTCACCGCACTGCCTGGTGTCCTAGACACCTCCTCGCTCTTACGAAGCCTCTTCCTCCTCAAGGGTCTCCCTGATACTGCTCCATAGCACTTAGAGAAGGCATTCTGGAATTTTGAAAGACTTGAGTTAGATTCCCAGCCCTATCACTTATGAGCTGTGTACTTAGGGCAAGTTAGCTAGGGCCTCTGACCCTCAGTTTCCCAACTGTAAATTGGGAGGATAGCATGATTGACTGGGAGGATTTTTATAAAGTGCTGAGCACCATTTTGTATGTCATAAATGTTCAGGGACCATTCATGATTACAAATGTTCTAGCATGAACCGTGTTGTGCTTTATGGGTTTTCTGCCTTGTCTGTCTTCTCATTAGACTGCAAGTAGTAGAGAGCAGAGTATGTATCTTATAGCTTTCAGTCTCTGAGGGCCAGCCCTGCTCATAGGTGTTTGATGAGCTGCACTCAGAAGTTTGCTGAGTGTGAAGGGTTAGGGATAGGAGGTTGCTCAGGCTCTGTCCATCCCAAGCTCCTGGTTCTGACCCTGCGTGGGCCTTACAAACCGCCTATGGTAGTCCCTACCTTCCTTCCAGCTCTCGCCGGTCTCAGCCTCAATAGCCTGACCATCCTCTCTTTCTGCAAAAACCCGGAGCTTCGGACCCCTAGCCACCTGCTGGTGCTGAGCTTGGCTCTGGCGGACAGTGGGATCAGCCTGAATGCCCTCATTGCAGCCATATCCAGCCTTCTTCGGTACCGGTACCATCCCCACCCCACCCTGGCCAGTTCTTGGTCTCTGGGGTCCTGCCTAGGGCCTGATCTCTGGACACTGAGCAGCCAGACCAGAAATATTCTTCCTACCAAACGAAAACTGACCCTAGCAGGGAGGGCAGGCTGAACTAGGCTAAATCCGAATTCCAGACTCCCACAGTTGCTCACACCTGACCAACAGAGTTGACTGACTGTAGGGATGAAGAGCACGGGCCCTGTAACCAGGCTGCCCAAATCTGAATCTTGGTGTCATTACTTTTACCTCTTGGCATCTTCTCTAAATTGGATATTATGATCTAACTCATATGGTGTTTGAAAGTATTGACTTTTTATTATTTGTAAATAACTTAAAATAATAATTGGTACCTGTAAAGCCTAAACAAGTGCTTGTGAAAGCAAACAGGATTTTGATAAGGGTCTCAGACCTCCTTATGTGCAAATTAGGGTCTTCCACCATGGCTCAGAAGGTGTTTACAAGATTGTTTTCTTAAGTGGACTGAACATTAGGCACTGCAGATGCCCAGCCTGGGCATGAATGATCTGTGGGTTTAAATCAGTGAGGATTCCTTGCTGTGATCTCCTGCCTCTGCCCAGGATGGGGGAGGAGCAACTGAAGCTTTTACCCTTGCTTGACCCATGAGGCCAAGATTTCAGAAGCATAGGTTCTACCCCCTGACCTTATCCTCATTTGCTCTGTGACCTTGGCTCAGCACCAAGTCTTCTCTGAGCCTCAGTTTCCCCATTTATGGAATAAACGTATAAGCCCTCTTCCCAACAAGGGTGTTCCATTTACTGTAATGGGGGCACCTGATCACACAGAGAGACCTTTGTTCCAACCATGGTGCTGAGCCTGGAGAGTTTACATCGGGTTCCATACCTTCACCAGTGACTTGAACTGTAAGGACCCAGTTTCGTCATAGAAAAAACAGGTAAGAAAGCGCTTTTCTGAAGAGATGAGCCAATATTTAGGAAGGGGCTCTCCAAGTTACTACAGGGCAGGTGTGGGAGGAGGGCAGGGACAAAGGGGAGGACCACTGTACCTGGTGTCTCCTACAGGCGTTGGCCCTATGGTTCAGACGGCTGTCAGGCTCACGGCTTCCAAGGCTTTGCAGCAGCATTGGCCAGCATCTGCAACAGCGCAGCCATTGCTTGGGGGCGCTATCATCACTACTGCACCCGTACGTTTGGGGCTGTGAGGGTGGAGGGACACCCACGTAGTGAGGTTGATCAGGATGAAGATCTGCTTGGTGTTTCCCAGTTCAAGGGACTGTGGGTGGGGGTAAGAGTGCAGGAGGGTGGGGTATGGGCACTTGGAAAAGGAGGAAGGCTGGGAGAGTGCAAGAAAAGTGTTGAGGCACAGGCTGGAAAGGCTGCAGCCTCAGGCCAGTCATGGGTTAGCTCTGAACCTTAGAATCCTCCTCTGAGAGATGATTTTTGTGACCAACTTCGTAGTTTTATTCTGAAAATCAAATGAGATCATAGATAGAGAAAATGTCATTGAAGATAGGCACTGTTGGGAGGCAGAGAGGTGATGTGTGTATGTGTTTGTGTGGGGGGGGTCTAGGCATGTGTCCCCACACCTGACACTTCCATAGAGCCTCTGCCATGCCAGAGCTTCATGAAAACCAGTCTAGCTTTGGATTTCCCCAGGCATATTGTCAGATATCATCTTCATAATTGGCCATATCAGTGTACCAACTGCTCTGTTATCTACTTGATATTTCTTTCTTAGAAGAGACTCCTCACTTTAAAAAATTTAAACACCTGTTTCATTCTTGTTCTCTACTGATCAAACCCCACTTGGAGTCCTGTCTATTATCCTGAAGTCCTTGTTTTCTGTGGAGTTTTCTTTTTCTTTTTTAAAAAATATATTTTATTGATTGTGTTATTATAGTCATCCCAATTATCCCCTCTTTACTCCTTCTACATGGTACCCCCATTCCCTCCAACCACCCCCACTTAGTTCATGGGGCATGCATATAAGTTCTTTGGCTTCTTCATTTCCTATATTATTCTTAACATCACCCTATCTATTTTGTACCTACCAACTTATGCTTCTTAATCCCTATACCTTTTACCCCATTCTCCCCCTTCCCTCTCCCAGCTGATAACCTCCTTGAGTCTTACTTACAAAGTAACATAGCATAAATCATGCACAAAGAAAGCATCTGGGAAAGACATTCTGCAGTGAGATCCAGGAGGAACCACTGGATAGGAAGGGCAGGATGAGGCTGTAAGGGGTATGGGTGGAGGGGTTATGGAGGCGGTCAGGCCAGCAAGACTGGTCACACAAAAAAATGCTGTCAGAACCTAGCCTCTGCCAGTGTTGCTGAGATGGAGCCCAACCCCCAAGTTGAGAGTTCTCAAAGAGTATCCTGAAAGCAGAGACAGTGGTCTGCTTCTGAGCAAGAGCTGAGATGGTGGTAATTCCAGACTCCACTTTCCTCTCCTAATGACCTTCACCTGAACCACTGTCCATGTTTCTTTTCTAACTTATCATTGGGAAGCACATCTGTCTCCTTTCTCTGTCCCCTAAAGGAGATGGTATAGAGCATCTACGAAGATCTTCTCATCTGTTATCTCTTTTATTCTTCATAACAATTCTCTAATGCAGGAACTATCATTCCCATTTTGTGCAGAAGAAAAGTGAGGTTCAGAGAAACTCTTAACTTGTTTGAGGCACTAAGCTATCACACATCAGAGCCAGGATTTAAGGCCACTTTTCATGACCATGAAGTTCATTCTTTGTCACCCTGATAGCTATCACCTCCTCTCAACCATCCTCCTCCTCTGTCCATGTAGGCAGTCGATTGGCATGGGACACAGCTGTATCCTTGGTGCTCTTCGTGTGGCTGTCTTCTGCCTTCTGGGCAGCACTGCCGCTCCTAGGCTGGGGCCACTATGGCTATGAGCCTCTGGGGACATGCTGCACCCTGGACTACTCCAGGAGGGACAGGTGAGGTGGAAGGCTCTCTTCCATGGAAATCTTAGCTTTGAGCCCTTATGACCGCAATGTCACAGATAAAAATCCAAATGGGTCAATGTCAATATTTGCCGGACGATCTCAGCTCCCTTCTTATGATATCCTCTTGCAGGTTAACAGTGGTACTGGGGAAAGCCCATTATGAACACTGACTGGCCAAGTGATGGAAATGTTATGCAAATTAAGGCAAAGAGTTGGGCACCAAAATGGGTATCATCTAGCGCTGAGTCCCATGACCACTTTGCCATCTTCATCACAGTCAGCTGTCCAAGCTCTGACTTTATTAATTCCTAGAGGGAGTCATGTCCTTGGTTTAGGAAGATTAAAAGAATGTTAAGGCCCTTTGCATTGGGAGGGACCTCCTTGGCCAAGTATTCAGGTCTTCAAATTCCCTAAACATCTTCTGTGAGCCAGTCCCTGGGCCAAGCCCTGAAGAGAGAGGAGTGAATGCATAATGACTACATCATCATGGAGCATGTGTCTAATACTGCCCCACTCGTGGGTCTTTCGGGAGACCAGGACCTAGGTAGACCTGTTCCAGCTCCCCTCTTACTTCTACTAGAACCATGTTGCATTCATCTGCTTTACATGTTTGCTCACATTTACTTGTGGAACATCTGCCCCTGATGAAAGCATCTTCTCAGGTGAAACCCACTTGGGAGCCCTGGGTCTGGTGTAAGCGAACCACCAGGGCACTCCTTGCAACTATTTTCCCAGCCTGCATCCAGTCCTTCTGACATCCCTTCCTCCCACCTGTCCTTAGTGGACAGCACCAAGGTGACACAGTAGCCCCCTAATGAAGGCTTAGCCATTCTGCCTCCCATGACTGCAACATAGCAATTTTTTCATTGACACAGTGCCCAGTCTCTTCACCAGCTTCAGACCCCTTTCAAATCCTCGTGTCAGGAACACTCCTTGAATACTCCTTCCTCTTGGTCCACTGACTGACATCTCCATCTGAAAAACATGTCCCCTAAAAGAAAGTGTCCTGTTCTCAGGGCTCAGGCACATACAGAGCTAAGCACTTGAACTTCCCAACAGCGTGTTGAAGGAGGACCCCCCCTCACCTCAGTCACATGGCTCCTTAAGGCAAGTTCTAGGAGGACCTAGTGGCTCCCTGGCTTTGAGAGTTGAGCTGGGACCCAAGAATGCCCAAACACTGAATACCCATCTGATGGGAGCAACTGAGGGGCCTTCGAGGATAGCAACCATCCCTGAGAGATGACTCTTACCCCTCTACCCCCTCTGCCTGCAGAAACTTCACCAGCTTCCTCTTCACCATGGCGTTTTTCAACTTCCTCCTGCCCCTCTTCATCACACTCATATCATACCGGCTCATGGAGGAGAAACTTGGGAAGACAGGCCATCCCCAGGTAAGGCATAACTCCTAGAGCAGAAGAAATCTCTCTGCCTCACTCAGGGACACCAGGGAATATAGGTGATGCGACAGACAGCAGTCAGGGGTTTTCTGTGTCTTCAACAATTGAGGTAGATCTCTCTTTAACAGAGCTGGGGTGTTAGGGCAAGAACGCACCCTGCCTGTGGTTGCTGGGGATTGCCAAGAGCTGGAGGGAGGATCAGGACTGCTCTGACTCACTGGACGGACACCATGACCCTGAGAACCCAGGTGCCCTGCCAGACTCCCTCCACACTGTAACATTTCTCTCTTTGCAAGGATGTGAGGGTTGGCACAAAATTACATACTTTTTAAATTCTGTTTTGAATCACTTTGAAATGTTTAATTTCATCACAGGCACAGGCTGTTACCCACAATATAAAATCACACCTGCAAGCATATTTGGCCAAGAAAAGTAATACTTCAAAATAAGCCCCTCTGGACATTTCTGAAGTTCTACATTAATACTTCCTTGTCACATTATTTTTTTAACTTTGTTACCTAGTTAATCTCTAGCAGATGAGCCATAATAAGCACCAAAGATTTTAAAAACCCAGATACTAATAGTACTTTGTGAATTATGTCCTTTCATTTTTGCAACCACTCTCAGAGGAAGGAAGGTTTTATTATCCCTATGTCACAAACTAGAAAATTGAACATTTGAGAGGTTAGCTGAGCAATTCATCAAAAGCCACAATTAGGAATAGAAGAGTTGTATCAAACCTAGGTCTGGGACACTACCATCAAGTGCTCAATCATGGTGCATAAAAGAAATATTCTTGTTGAGACATTTAATCTGCCACATTTTTTTTCTTTGAATTGGAAAAGAACTGTCCAAATCTATTTTACCTGGAGACCAGATTTCCCTGAGGCCTCAGAAGGAAGATAAGAGCTGTGCTGGGACCAGAATCACATCCTAAGCTCCAAGTTTGATGCCTACCTGCTCATCACAGCCTCCAAGCCCTGTGACAAGGCTGCCACACAAATTTTCTCATTTGTCTGGGTTGACTTCAAACTATCAGTTCTGATAGCATCATTAGAAGTTGCCACACAATAGCCCAGGGACCTTGACTGCGAGCTTAAATCACATTCTTTGTTAAAGGAAGACATAGTCAAGAGAAAATAAACATCAATTTTCAGCACAGAGTTTATCATCTGAGTGTATACAAGAAGAAGAACATGGCAACTTCCATCCTAAAATCGGATTACAAACTGAGTGCCTCCCTGTGGTCCCAGGTAGTACCAGATCACAAGCTCCCTGGATGTATCTCACTCAGTGGAAATCTGCCACTTTGACGCCAGGGCAGGTGGACCAGCCAGGTGGCTGCAGTTGCTGATGGAGAGCTGGTTCTGGGACTGAGGTGTGAGAGCAGCTCAGCCTGGGGACCTTCATGCACACGGCCGCACTCACAGAACCCAGGGTTCAACCAGGACAGAAGCTCATTAGCTGTGCCCAGACCCTGACTTCAGGCCAGTCAGGTAGTATCTGGCCATTTTACAGACAGGGTAACTAAGGTCAAGTAAGCTTAAATGACAGGCTTAGGGTCGTGCATCTTAAACGGCAAAGCGGTCCCTCTCGTCCCAAGTTCCTCCTCAGGCTCAGCACCTTCCCACAGCCTGGTCATGCTGCCCAACCCTGCTTAGAGCTCACACAGGCCCTGGTCTGTGCGGGGCTGCCAAGCATTGGAGCAGGTCGGTACCTCCCTCCTGTGACAATTTCTCCACAGGTAAACACCACTCTGCCAGCCAGGATACTGCTGCTCGGCTGGGGCCCCTATGCCCTCCTGTATCTGTACGCAGCCATCACAGATGTGACCCTCATCTCCTCCAAGCTGCAGATGGTACAGACTAGTCAGAGCTAGAACTCTCTCCGCCTTTGTATCTCTGTTTCACCCCATCTCTCTTTCATGCTTTACTGTCTCCATGATAGTCTGTCTTTCTCTCTTCCTTTGAATATTCACAGTTCAGTGGGAATTTACTTGCCATCGAGGCCACACGGGGCTGCTGTGAGACATTGCCTCAGCCTCATGTGAGATGACAGGGATAGACAGCCAGGTGGTGAGCATGCGTTATGGGACCAGGGGCGGAGACTGTGCCTGCAGAGGCGTGTGTTCCCGTACATCATCTAATAGCTAGTGAGGAAAGAAGTAAAGGCAGCAGGACAAGTCGGTGGCTTTGGGGCTAGGCTGGGGAGGTAGGGTCACCAGGTGGGGTCAGGGAGAGAAGCAGAGGCTTTGAAACTTGTTTCCTCGATGTTTTTGCAACAGGTACCCCCTCTTATGGCCAAAATGGTGCCCATAGTCAATGCTGTGAACTATTTCCTGGGCAGCGACATGGTCCACAGAGGAATCTGGCAGTGCCTCTCATCACAGAGAAGTGAGCGGGACCGAGCACATTGAGCCTCTCTGTGGGGCTGCTCAGATGCAGTCCCACCCCTGCCACTCTGGACTGAGCCTCATGTTGGGAGGTTGCCCAGGGAGTCCTACCCTGCAGTCTCAGAAGCCAAGCTCCAGATATACATCCTCCATCCCTAATGGCCCTGTTGAGCCTGGCGCTAGGCAGGACACATGAAAGGAGCTGGGCTCAGGGGCCAGAGAGACCTGAATGTTAGTTATAGCTCTCCACACAGAGGCTAGGGGCCTTGGGAAAGTCATTGTTCTTGACCCTAACATAAGAATATTAATATGGATTCCCTAGGGCTATCATGAGACTTGAAAAAGAGAATGTGTATGCACCATGCACATAGAAGCTGCTTATTAGAACAGAATGTTAGGACTCAGGGTTTTCCATCAAAAGGTGTAAAAGCCCTGGGTTACTTGTGAGAGCTCAACCCTGGCTGCCAGCATTCAGATGCTTCTTATTAAACTACGATCTTGTGTAAGTCATTTACTCTGCCTGTACATCTATTTTTCAGCCTGTGAGATGTGATGACAGTAAAGACAACTTGACCATGCAGGAAAGACCAGAATGTCACCTGGCATGTTAAGTACTCACTGAGAGTTATCCGCCAAACACTCACCAGTCAAAGACAGCTAAGCTGCATGTTGCTTAGCTGCCAACATTAAAAAGCAATTTATTTAAAACTCCAGATGTCTGAAGAGGAGGTCCCACCAGCCTCCTCCATGGTGACAGTTTGGAGGGGTCAGGACATTTCTGCCATTTGCCCAGGGCACGTACTCTCCAATAGCTGCAGCTCATGCATTCCCTGCAGAGCCCATCTGAGCATCTGGGTTTGTGACACTAACACTGGAGGCCCCATCCCTGGATGTACAACTGCACCTCCCAGAGGACAAGGTGCACAGACCTGGGTAGGACCCATTTTCCTGGAGGAAGATGGAGATGCTTGGCAGGGTGATTAAGGGCTCTAGTAAAGGTCTGATGATGGAGGGGCAGCTTCCCCAGGCACCATGGAGGCAGGAACGATAGAGCTGAAGAGGGAAGAGGCAAGTCCCCAGAGCTGGGGGATGGGGTAGTCATGAGAACTGCATCTGGGGTCCCTGGGCACCAGGACCTGACTCTCAGTTTTACAGATGCAGAAAATCAGGTTGCATAAACGTAACTCACGTAAAGTCCACACTAAGTTGAGGCCAGTCCAGTCATTTTGCAAAAGAGGTGGAGTGAGCAGAGGTAGCCTTCCCACAACAGTCTTTTCTAGACCATGCCTTATGGAGGGGGCTATGGAGACAAGATGCCTCTCAGCCTCACTCCAGCACCCACACATGGTTCTTGTCTTAGGCCCTGGAGTGGGGCCAGCAGGGAAAATCCTGGGCCTAAGCTGTGTTCACACACGGGCTGTTTGGGTGGCCAGGAAGGTGATGTGGTTTGGAGTTCAGAGTTGTTGACCCTGTCTCCACTGCTCATGGATCCTTAAATTGTCTTTATTGGGGAGCTGACCTTAACTCTGCCATTTGACATAACCTACTAAGATGGGGCAAGGAAACACAGTGAGAAGAGAAGGGGGATGAACCCAGACCCACAGAAAGGGTGGAAGATGAGAGACGCTGATGACATCCAGCAAGAATGGCCAATGTCCCCAGACAGATCAACCTGTGCTCAAAAGAGAGGTGGGGAGGGCGGCAGGTTGGCAGGGGGTAGTCAAGGACATCTTTAGCCCAAGCCCACATCTGTGTGGAGCTGGAAATGGTGGCCTCAGGCTATCTCCATGCTGGACTGGGTCAGCAGGAGATGAGAAGGGCTGAAGTGATACCCTGTGTGTGGAGGTAGATCCCCAAAGCCTGAGGCCATTTACTTAAGAAGTTCCAAATCTACCCAGACCCTCACCTCTCATTCACAAAGTAGGTTTGGGGAGCCTCATTACCATTGGGTATTTTCCAAAGTACTTTCAGGATCTAAAGTCGCCTGTGGACACTGTGTGCAGTCCTCTGTGGACACCTCAGTGTGTCCACCGAGGCAGTGCAGGGCTCTCTGCCTGCCAGCCCTCCAGCACCCCTGCCTCAACCTTCCATGGAGCAGCTCAGCAACAAGGACAAGGGAGGTGTCTGAGTCTTGTCTGAGGCCCACCTTTCTGTGAGTCCTTGGCACAGTCACTGGGCTGGGACAGGAATCAAAGCCACCAGTCCCTGGATCTTAGACAGCTCCTGTCACAAGATAGAGAACAGCCCCCAAGGCCCAGCACCACCTGAGGCTCCCTTTGTTCTGCATGGACCAGGGGCCATATTGTAGCCCTCAAACTGTCTACAATGAACATTTATCACTTCTACAGTCAGAAAAAATGCTCACATGTGAAGAGAGTGATTACTTCTGTTTCCATGGAGCTTTTGTTTCCTGGCTCCTTCTGTTGGTCTGATTTTGGTGACACTTCCCACCTCCCTCACTTCCCTGCCCACCCTCAGGCTCCTGTTTCTTGGGCACCCCAGGTCTCTTCCCTCCATTCATTCCTGTGGCTCATAATGCCACATGGTAAGGATAGTGCCCTCCCCCCCACCACACACAGACACAATGGACTTGGGGGTACGCACCAACATGGTCCCCATGCCCACACCATCTATCACTGGGGCCACCATACTGTCCCCAAATTCGCCAAGAGTCAGGAGAACTAAGGCCAATGGTGGGTGGGGGAACCAGAACCCTGAGGCACCAGGAAAGAAGGGTGAAAGCAACAGAGACTCTGGAGCCTGGTCCACAGACCTGAGAGCTCAGGGCATCTTCACAGCATCCTGGGAACTGGCCCTGCCTTTGCTTCAGGCCTCACCAGCACTCCAGGTCCATTGGCCTCGGCCCACCCTGTGCCACCAAAGAATCCAAAATGGATTTGGAAGAGGCCACTACAGGCAGGTGAACAACTAGAGCTAGGTGCCAGAAAACAATTAAGCAATCCCTTCCTCATTTGTAGGTAAGCATTTATTTGGCCACTAACCGTGTCTGTATCCTTTGGTCTTGCTCACCTACTCACTCAATGTGCGTTTAATGAGCAGCTGCTGTGTCAAGCACTGTGTTGATAGGAGGACACAGGACTGAGACCCTTTACAGTTTCTTCACAAGGAGTTCATGGCCCCTTTACCTCTTCATGGCATTTGTGAGTAAAAAAATTGGTGCTAACATGGTTCCAAAGTCAAAAGTAGAGATTAAGGTATAACCATGCCCAAGTGAGTGCCATTAGCCATAGTATTAATAGTAAGGGTGATAAAGATTGCTCGAAAGTTTCCATCAGAATCTCTACAAATCTTTACCTCAAAACTAAACTCTTTTCCCTCATTGTAGACAAATTAAACATGCCCTCTGAGCTTCACTGTGCATTTGGTTTAATTGCATATTTCAGCAGAATTGTCCCCCACTGACCTTCAATGCACAGTGCCTTTCAGCCCCATTCTGGATTTTTAAAAAAAGTCCCTGTGGTTTGATTTGATAACCTAAATGCCTGCATTATTTTTCTCAGTAACAGAGGTGAGACCCATGTGCACACGCACACTTGTTCATCGTGACCGGGCTCCAGCCCTGCCAACCCTTCCTGGTGCCCTGCAGTGAGTCACAAGCTCTCTGTGGTCCATTCTTTCCCTCTTTCCCTCTCCTAAGTCTGAACGAGCTCTGACAGAGAAGAAGGTTTTCAGACGCCATCAAAAGTCTCTTTTCTATTTGATGTTTGAGCCCTCCCAAAATTTCTATGTTGAAGTGTTTAAGCCCTAACCCCCAGGGTGACTGCATTTAGTGACAAGGCCTTTACAGAAGAGGTTAAGATTATCTGGCCAAGATGGGGGCATAGGTAGATACATTTTGCCTCCTTGCACAACTAAAAGAAGGATGACAACAAATTTAAAAACAGAAAATAACCAGAACTGTGAGAAAATCAAACTGTTTGGCAGTCCAACAACCAAGGAGCTAAAGAGAAAACATTTATCCAGACCAGTAGGAGGGGTGGAGACAGGCAGCCAGGGCAGAAAAGATGCGCGGCAAGGCCGCCGCTGGAGGACCGGGTGGGAGAGGCAGCAGCTGGCAGACCCAGTGGTCCAACATTTGCATACAGATAAACCATGAGGAACAGCTAGGGAGCAGAACAAACCACGCAATCCAGGGTTCCAGTGCAGGAAAAGAAAGCCTCAAACCCTTAGAGATAAAAACCTGTCGGGGTTGTGGCAGCAGGAGAAACTCCCAGCTTCACAGGAGAGTCTACTGAAGAGACCCATGGGGTCCTAGAAAATACACAAACCCACCAACCTGAGGAAGCAGCACCAGAAGGGCCCAATTTGCTTGTGGGTAACAGGGAAAGTGACTGAAAGCCAGCAGAGGGCCAAGCAAGCAACTGTGAGGCATTGTTCCCTCTTGGACTCCTCCCCTACAGGCAGCATCACAACACAGGACCTGAGTTGCCCCACCCTGGCGATTACCTAAGGCTCTGCCCCTCCCAATGTAACAGGTGTGCTGAGACTAAGAAATATGACCCAAATGAAGGAACAGATCAAAGCTTCAAAAATAGAACCAAGCAATGAACAGATAGCCAACCTATCAGATGCACAGTTCAAAACACTGGTAACCTGGATGCTCACTGAATTGGTTGAGTATGCATGCAAAATGGACGGAAAAGTAAAGGCTATGCAAAGTGAAATAAAGAAAAATATACAGGGAACAAACAGTAAAGGGGCGGAAACCAGGATTCAAATCAATGATTGGGAGCAGAAGGAAGAGATAAACATTCAACCAGAACAGAATGAAGAAACAAGAATTCAAAAAAATGAGGAGAGGCTTAGGAACCTCCGGGACAACTTTAAATGTTTCAACATCTGAATCAGAGGGGTGCCAGAAGGAGAAGAGGAAGATCAAGAAATTGAAAACTTATTTGAAAAAATAATGAAGGAGAACATCCCCAGTCTGGCCAAGGAAATAGACTTCCAGGAGATCCAGGAAGCTCAGAAAGTCCGAAAAAACTTGGACTCAAGGAAGCACA